AGGAGACGACCCACGAAACATTAAAGGTCATCCAAGTCTATTGTCAAATACAGTTGCGTGTTATTATAAAGCGAATTAATTAGATTGTATGGGAGTGATAATAAAAAGAAAGATTTTTGTGCCAATATAATTATGTGTGTAGTGTATAATAAATATTACATATATTTTATTATACATATATGCGCGATATATTGTCATCACCACTGATTCGATTTGAAATTATTTTGATTTAAATGGTAAGTTGCGTAAATGAATCGTGTAAACAATCTTGAGGTATTTATTTCTATGTACACGTTAGAATTAACATATACGCGTATTCTATATAAAAAAAATGTTTGTAACATGAATATACAGCATGCTACTCTTTTAATTTGTTTATTTGTTATTAAGACGCATGTATACAGAATATATCGCATATTGTGTATTTTCTCTTAAATTACAGATTTTTTGACAAGGATTTAGTATTGGAAAATCGATTCCTAATGCGTTAAGAAATCTGCAACTAGAGGCAGTAGCGCATGACTTCTGCCTACATAACGTATTAGCAATAGTTGTTCCACTTTATTTATGTAGTATGTTAATTCAGACGATTAGATATGCAGATATGCTGTCGTATTATATAATAATTACTGCTTATTATAATATCAACTTGAAAACTTATTACGAGAGCAAGGCATCTTAAGCTAAAATAAGTATTAATTTAAGCCCTGTTTTTTTTATGTTTATTAATGTCTATAAAATGTGTATTTGAACATGTGTGTTAGTACAAACAGTTTACCCATATTCCTGTATATGTCTGTTTTTTGTATATGATAAGGTTTAACACTTTCATAGTAATATGGGATAAAATTGTCCTAAGTGTGAAGATGATTTCGATTATAAAAGGATGTTAGTAAAGTCACATGATAGTTATGAAAGATTATCAAAAAGAAACTTTTATTAGGCAAACTCTAAGATTTCATATTTTACACCATACAAAGTATATTCGAATACAAATAAAGTCTTAAGCATCAATATATATTAATACATTAAAGTAGCCACCATTGTTAAAAACGTATATTAGTAAAAAGTGAATAAATTATTGTCAATAAAAGTATTCATCATAAATATTAGTGATCTTGTTTGTTATTTACATTAAAGTTAAAAGCCAGAATAAATTGGTAGCTAAGAGTTAATGATTTAGGTCTAATTTTGTCAGAAAGGCTCATTAATAATACTTCAAAATTGTTACACATTTCATAAGTGGTAGTGATGACAAAAGAAGTTGGCAAATATATGGAGGAATGTATTTTTAAAATTAAATCCGACAGTTTTTGGATGAACAGTTACACATGATCTCGAGCACGATTTCATTTTTTTTTTTTTTTTTTTAGAACAATAAGATTCAGAACAATTAAAATTACCGTATTTTATATAACCATGTAAAATAATTCAATATTGCGAAACTTTTGTCAGAATAATGACTAAAAATGAAATCGCTAAATTAACTTGCTTTTGGGTCGAATGATAAGATATACTTATTTTGAAAGCAAGGAACTTAAAGAATAATTGTGACATATGTATGTACGAAATAAACCGTGCTCTAATTATACAGAGATACAATACAATCATTAATCAGTTATTGAATTCAAGCAATATTAGGAAACCAATTTAAATATTTTTTTTTTACAAAACCTGTGTCTGGATTGGATTTGGAAATCTTAATCGAGTGAAATTTAAATCAGCAATAATGAAACATGGTAAAGAGCAAATATCAATAAAAACCTGTACTTATATTACCATGTGAAACACATACGTACATACTAGTCGTACGAGCGAGATCTGGAGCGAGATCTTGATCGCGAGTAATTACGCCGCAACGGCGAGTAAGTAGGAGAACCACGGCGCCGTGGGCTGTAGCTTCGCGAACGGGAACGGCCCCTTTCTCGGTCTTCGCTGCGTCCTCTGTCGCCACCGCTATGGTCTTCCTTCACACGGATGTAAGCTACCTCGCCCTAGATATTAGATCAAACGATCAAAGCGTATCAAACGTAAAGTAATAGAAGTGCGTGCAGTCGCACAAATACATTTGAATTGAACCGCATATGTTTGTGACAAAACCTGACGCTGGAGTACAGCGATATACATGTGATTAGGATAACAGCGGAGAGGGGATCCGTACCTCGTGCGATCTAAATCTCGAATCGTCTAACTTCTTTACAGCGTACTTCATGTCGTCGTGTCTCAGAAACTCAACGACCCCAGTGCCGTCCTTGTAAACGTCCGCGAAGCACACGTCACCGGCCTCGCGCATGTGGTCCTTGAGATCCTGCCAGCTGCCGGAGGGCGGTAGACCGCTAACCAGGACTCTGTACTGCGATCGTCGCGCGGGCGGTCCACGGCCGCGCGAATTGCTCATCTCACCGCGGCCACCCCTCCCGCTGTCCCCAGCCCCGCGTCCACCGCGGAAATTATTGCTGGGGCCACCGCCGCGTGGAAATTCGACTCTCAATCTGTAGCCGTCGTAGTCGTAACCGTCTCTGGCGTGCACCGCGTCCTCCGCATCTCTGAAAAACGAGTTTGTTTACTACACGTGCTTCTGCGACAAGGTCCGTCATGTAACTCTTTCAATCGGAACGTCCGCTTGTAAAGTTTAACGGTAATGAACCTGTAAGATACATTAATTGCGATGAGTCAACGGAAATTTTATTAAGTATTTGTATTTAAATAAACCGTTATATACATGTATCTTGAAGCGATATGTTATACATGTACATACATCCTGAAACAAAGTTATGCATCTGGAAAAAAATTACAATTATATATATTTTTTAAATTCTTTATTTCAATTAACAGTCGCGTTTAAATAGTTTACGAAATTTTGTAGTACAGAAAAATAATTCTATTACTATTTACAAAAATAGTATTTTTTTTTCGTTATTTGCCCGAGTCAGTGGCAGTCGTTTTTGCAATCTCATACTAATACTTCATAAATATAAATGCATGTGAATAAATTTTCGGTCAAGATACATAATGCGGATTTCGTCATCAACGCGACTACGTCGCGTCGCCTCGAGTCCGCGCGAACGGCTCGAATTAACGGCGTTACGTCGTAGGCGGGAAGTGCATACGTGTAAATATCGAATAGCGCAAGCGGACGCGCGGGCGAGAGTCGCCGCGTGCGTCTCTCAACGCCCCGACGAGAATAAGGCTCACCTTGGATCGTCGAATTCGACGAAAGCGAAAGGCGGGCCACGGCGGTTTTTCAGGTCAACGAAAGTAACTTTACCAAACTTGTAGAACAGATCTTGGATGTCCTTCGTACGGATGTCCGGCGGCAGATTGCCCACGTATATCCTACACTCGTTTCTGCCGCCGTGCGACATGATACCTACTGTTTCCCGGCTCCGCGGCTCTCGGTCGGCGTTAACTCGGAGAAAACGTACGCGGGGGCTCGCGCGGAGAAACCAAACAAAAAGGGAGAGACGGCAACACCGGTGGCGGAGCGACGGCAAGCGACGGCGCGATCGGCGTGCAAATCCGGAGCAATCGAAGGTCTCTCGGTCACCGAGATCACCCGAGATCAGCCGGAGTCAGCCGAACACTCGTGCGGCGGGCCGGTTTTCATGACGGTGTTCCCGGATTGGCCGTGTTCGGCCAAAAAGACGATTTGGCGATTCTTTAATGTGATTGGTTCAGAGCGTTTGGATTCAACGAGAAACTGAAGACAAGAACCAATCAGATAAAGAATCATTGATCACTTACAATAAAATGTGATTAGGGGCCACTATTTCCAATAACTTTTTAAAATAGTCAATACATTATGGAGTAGTATGTAAAAAGACAAATATAGAGCATTTCCAAGAACGCGCAGTCGTCATTTTCTTTTGACCAATCAGAAATTTGTCCTTTTGTCATTAATTTATTACATATTTTTATTAATTTATGGGATGTTGTATTATATTTACAAATTTTTTAATTTTATTCGCGTTTTTTGTCACGAAACTTGACTAATGCTAACATTTGAATGTATAGCGCGACATGCCGGACAAAAATTTGATTGGCTGTCCTATTCTTCGGCCGCCATTATGCGCAACGCTACATCTGTCTTTTTACATCATGAGCCAATGAGCGCGTTCGGCAGACACAACTGTTGAGTGTCGTCTTATCAACACTGCGTTGATTGGTTGGTTCTAAAAGTAAGAGCCAATCACGTTCGACTGCTACTGAGCGGCTTGGTCTGCTGAACGCGACCAATGAGCGCGTTCGGCAGACACAACTGTTGCACAAATGTTGAGTTCGTCTTATCAACACTCTGCGTTGATTGGTTGGTTCTAAAAGTAACAGCCAATCACGTTCGACTGCTACTGAGCAGAGCTTGGTCTGCTGAACATGACCAATAGAAGTTGAGAATGGTTGGGAAATTCGCTCGGCCGTCGCGTCGAAACGCCATTGAAACGCGGCGTGAGGTTTCGGGCGTAGACCGGTCCGCGCCCGCGCTCCATAACCAACGAACCAACCAATCCAATCCCACCGAGCCCAACGGAAATAATGACATCAGGAAATCGTAGGCGCAGGCGAGAGACTGGCAGACAGGCAAATGCCAACGGAGTGATACATCAAAGGGGGTGACACGGTGTGCTTGTCGAACTCGTCGAACCGTATCGCGTCTCGCCGATACCGTTTAATTCTGCCAATCTCGCGCGGTCGTACATCGTTGCGTCGTCCGCGAATTGCACGTCGCCGTTGACAAGCGGTTGAAGCCTGGTCGGTGCTCCGTTTTTCCTCTCAAATCTCTTTCGATGCCGGACTCGTACGTATACACATACCTCTCTTATCTGCATCACCTTTCCCCTTTCGCTGGCGCGTGTGCGGAGATACGCGACGCTCCACCCGGGAAATGCCAATGTCGCAATCGACGGCGAGGTCCTAGCGGGTTGTACCTAACGAGGGAGCGAAGCGACGAACGGTGTCGTCGCCGGAGCGTCGCGAGTTCCCGCCGCACGCCCGCTGAAGTTGGAGTAATCCGCGATATTCACGTTTGATAGGACAGCTTGTGTGACACGAGTATTACCTTGACTCATTTGAATTTCGATAAGCTTTTATTTATAGAGTTGATCGATAGCTCTAAGCCTCCGGCTAAAAGAAGACCGAGGAAATATTGAGAAGCTTATGGAGGCGCAGAGCATTGTGTTGAAAAAGTCTGGTGCTTCTCTCGATTCAAACGGCAGCTGACTTTATAATTAATACGAATCCAAATTGTGTTTTACTGTTGCTCCTTATTTATACTTGCCTGTGGAGTAAAAATTGAATGAGATACATGTGCGCTGCTCTTTGAATTGTAAAACTTGAGATTATTGGAGAAGGATTAACAAGTTTCCAGATTTAAGTCTGGGAATTAAAACGAGAGAGGAAACGGCTTGTAGGAATGCATGAGCGAGTCGTTTAGCTTTTTTTTATATAGATTTGCCCGTTACATTTTATCGCTAACATAAATTAATTATGTGAAAAGCTTCGTGCGTGTATTGAGTGTTAATTTCAGGAATATTTTACACTTGCAAGCTTTGCATCGTTTTATATATCAAAAATCTTTTTGTTTTTTTTTGCACTTGTAGAATAAACATTAATACGATAAATATGCCGGACCACTTTGGGCCAATCACTCTGAAGTGGGATCCCAAGAACTTGGAGATACGGACTATGTCCGTGGAGAAGACCCTGGAGCCGCTTGTGCTGCAGGTCACCACGTTGGTGAACACGAAGGGTCCCAGCAAGAAGAAGAAAGGAAAGTCAAAGAGAGCGAACGCGCTTGTCGGAACCGTGGAAAAGGCCACCGCCAATTTTATCGAGAAGGGCGAGAAGATTGCCTATGAAAATCCGGACATCACAGCGGAAATGCTAAGCGCTGTGGAGGAAGTGAGGAAAACGGGAGCAGCTATGAGCATCGCTGCCAGGTACAAAAATTTTATTCGTCTGCATATATTATGTATTATGTTACGTCGTTGTGCTACATAGCTAATGTAACGTGTTAAAATTACTTACGCAGAGATTGTGAGACGAGGATCCATGTAACGTGTTAAATTGCTTACACAGAGAATTTTCCGAGGATCCGTGTTCGTCCTTGAAACGAGGCAACATGGTGCGCGCCGCGAGAAACTTGCTGTCGGCGGTGACGCGTTTGCTCATTTTAGCGGACATGGTGGACGTTCATCGGCTTTTGAAGTCGTTATACGTTGTGGAGGACGACCTGAAGAAGTTGAAGAACGCCTCCTCGCAGGGAGAACTGATCCAGAACATCAAGGAATTCGGCAGAAACGCCGCTGAATTGATTCATCAGGCGGCCAAGCGTCAGTACGAGCTCAAGGATCCCCAGCTTAGGGACGATTTGGCGGCCGCCCGGGCCGTCCTGAAGAAGCATTCGACCATGTTGCTCACCGCGTCAAAGGTGTACGTGCAGCATCCCGATCTCGCGGCGGCCAAGGCGAATCGCGATTACGTGTTGAAGCAAGTTTGCGAAGCGGTCAACACGATAAACGACGTTGCTCAAGGGAAATCGCCGCCCGACAGCCAGCATCCTTACGACGGCCCCGGCGAGCTGGCCGCCGCGTTGGATGACTTCGACGAGAGGATGGTGATGTCGCCGCTCTCTTACAACGAGGTCCGCACGCGACCGAGCCTCGAGGAGAGATTGGAGAGCATTATCAGCGGTGCCGCGTTGATGGCGGATTCGTCGTGCACTCGGGACGAACGTAGAGAGCGCATCGTCGCCGAGTGTAACGCGGTCAGACAGGCGCTTCAGGACCTCCTGAGTGAATACATGAACAACGTAAGTAGAACCGCGATTATAATCACGCGAGAAAGTACACGCGGATACAATAGCTTGTATCGCATTATATCAGAGGGAAACGCGAAAGAAATTTTTTTATGAAGTAAACACATAAATGAATATATAATTAGATTTATATAAGACTTATTTTTTATTCTTTCTTTTTCTTCAATTTCGAGTAATGCAGTAAGCCACTGGATTAACGTATTGAATACCTACAATCAGTTTAATTATCGTATTAATCATAACATTCTTTCTTCAGTGAACACTATGAGCAACAGTTTACTACGTATCTATGTGATACTGTATGAGTGGTTATTCGATTTAAAATAATTTGAAGCTAGAGAACCAATTTTATATTATTTACGTAAATATATAACACTGCTCATCTTTAAGTCGTAGAATTTTGTTTGTTATCAGTTCTATATTAAATATAAAATTCTAGACAGCATACCGTTATCTATGCATATAGGACATATACAACTTTATTCTTTTTATTAAAACAATATTCATTCTATTGATTTGTTTTTGTCGGTGATGGCCAGTTACAGCGCGCTCGGGGTGGGAGACGGGTAAATATGCGAAGTAATTCTACATTTCTATGGGTTTTGTTGCGCATATACACGTTATCTTAGATCTCTCACACACTACCAAATGCATACTTATTATTTCATGACCAGCACTAATCGTTAGCTCGTTATTAGCTATACGCTTACAATTCGTTTTACTATCTTTTATAATTTCCTTCACTTTCATATGTAAATATTAAATACTAATGTCTCACGTTGTAGTTTATGTAAAATAACAAAATACTTAAACGCAATATACAATGCAATAGAGGAGACAATAGATTAGCAAAACTGTAGAAAATTTGAGCTGTATATATAATTATGCACACAATTTGTAGTGTATAAATATATATAAAACTTGTAAATATACCGCTTGCTGCAATCACGTTGCTAAAAATCATAATATAATTAAATAATATTTTAGAAAACATTTTATTCCTACACATATTAAAAACATTTTATCTACACATATTAATATTATTCTGACGATTTGATTTATATATCCTTCTCCTGTAATACATGTTTATTTGTTTCTGTAATACAAGTCGGGTTTAAACTAACAATAACATCGAATATTAAACAATTGTTTACAGCTGTAAGTTTAAAATCCAAGAATACTTTAATTAGTTTGTCCGAAATTAATCGACCAATGTGTGTTGACAGATGGGTGTTAAGGAACAATCTGAGGGCTTAGAGAGGGCGATAGATCACATGTGCAGGAAGACCCGCGATCTTCGCAGGCAGTTGCGCAAAGCCGTGGTGGACCATGTATCGGATAGTTTTCTGGAAACCAGCGCACCGTTGCAGGCCCTGTATGAAGCTGCGGAGAAAGGTTGGACCAAGGAGGTGGAAGAGTACGCAATCATTTTTACGGAGCACGCGAATAAACTGGTGGAGGTAAAAGAATTCCTTGTATAAATATTAAAAGAAATATTGATCTGAATGCACACACGTTACAAATGTTTTAGATTATCTTGTGGTAACAAGAAGATTAATTGCTACCTTTACTTTGAACAGGTGGCCAATTTGGTGTGCAGTATGTCCAACAACGAGGACGGCGTAAAGATGGTTCGCTATGCCGCGGCGCAGATCGAGAATTTGTGCCCGCAGGTGATTAACGCGGCGCGTGTATGGGCCGCACGAAACTCGGACGTCGCGAAGGACAACATGAAGGTGTTCCGCCAAGCTTGGGAGAATCAAATGCGCGTCTTGACGGAGGCCGTGGACGACATCACCACGATCGACGATTTCCTGGCGGTTTCCGAGAATCATATTCTGGATGACGTCAACAAGTGCGTCCTGGCGTTGCAAGTGCGTCCCGGTGACGCCGATACCTTGGACAGACACGCGGGCGCGATACTCGGCCGTTCCGCCAGGGTGTGCAACGTCGTGCAGGCCGAGATGGACAATTACGAACCGTGCATCTACACCAAGCGAGTTCTCGAAGCGGTGAAGGTTCTCAGGAAACAGGTGATGCCAAACTTCGAGCAACGAGTGGAGGAGGCCGTGAACGCGCTGCGCAGTAATCCGGCACAGGAAGTGGACGAGAACGACTTTATTGACGCGTCCAGACTGGTATACGACGGAGTTCGCGAGATCAGACGTGCTGTGCTGATGAATAGGGTAAGAGAACTCTATTCTCGATGTCCGTCAAAGTTTCGTAATTGCTCCTTCTCTCGTCATGTCTAATTCGCTGTCGTTTTTTTTTTTCAGGCGGACGAAGACCTGGATCCTGAAGATGTGGAATTAGACGAACATTACACGTTGGAAACGCGTAGTAAGTCCAGTGCTCAGACCGGAGAACACGGCGTGGACGAGTATCCGGAGATCAGCGGCATCACGACTGCGCGCGAGGCGATGAGAAAGATGCCGGAGGAGGACAAGCAGAAGATCCTGCAGCAGGTTGAGTTCTTTAAAAGCGAGAAGCTCAAGTTCGACAAGGAGGTGGCAAAATGGGACGACGCCGGCAATGACATCATCGTTCTTGCTAAGCATATGTGCATGATCATGATGGAGATGACGGACTTCACTCGTGGTCGAGGCCCCCTGAAGACAACCATGGACGTCATAAACGCGGCGAAAAAGATCTCCGAAGCTGGCACGAAATTGGACAAGTTGACCAGACAGATCGCCGATCAGTGCCCGGAGAGTTCCACGAAGAAGGATCTCCTTGCGTACTTGCAACGCATCGCGCTCTACTGTCATCAGATGAATATAACGAGTAAGGTGAAGGCGGATGTGCAGAATATCAGTGGCGAGCTGATTGTTTCCGGCCTAGATAGCGCAACCTCTCTCATACAGGCTGCCAAAAACTTGATGAACGCCGTCGTGCTCACCGTTAAGGCTTCCTACGTTGCGTCGACGAAATATCCACGACAATCCACGGTAACGGTAAGTTTTGTCAGTATTTATTAATTCTGTAGCAGCTAAGATCTCGATATGCTAATCAATTTTAGAAGTTATTGTAGTCAGGCAAGAATTTGCCATATTTGATTTTTCGAAATTTATCACTTTATCAACATTAGATCTTAATCTAATCATATTAAAAGATACTGATGTATTTTTTAATAATAAAAACGCGCTAGATACATATTCCTATTTTACAAGATTTTAAGATTAATTGCATATCGTATTTTTATATATTTTTTTGCTGTACGCTAATATACGTGGACTTTCAGTATGTAAGTATACGTTATCTTAAGAAATCATCCATGCACAAATATAGTAGAGCTTTTTTAATAATCTTATTGTACTATTATTAAGTATTAGAGATTCAGATTAAATTTAATATTGTATTATATATAAATATGTTAAAACATAACAGTAACGTTTAATTAATTTAATCTTCGAACATGATATGATCGTAAAATTAGTGATAAAAATATAGATTAAACGCATGTAATAATACAAATTTATTATTTCTATTAGTCTCCTATCGTCATATGGAAGATGAAAGCCCCAGAGAAAAAACCGTTAGTGCGTCCTGAGAGACCCGAGGAAGTTAGAGCGAAAGTGCGTAAAGGTTCGCAGAAGAAAGTGCAGAATCCAATACATGCACTCTCAGAATTTCAGAGCCCTACCGAGAGCGTATAAATACTTTAGATGTAAGTAAACGATGACAAAAAAAACATACCGTCACGTCGTTGTGTCTTGCTATATTTATTTGCTATAATATTTGCGATTCGCTTGACCCGATTAATGCGGGGTAAGACGAATGATTTCGATATGAAAAAAAGAAAAAGATCAACTCCAAAACCATCAGATAAATTATACGATGTCTGAGTGGGTTCCTGATTTAGATATGTTCTTTTTTCGTGTCGACCGCTTATTAATCGGACACAGCGGATTACAAATACCGTAGCAGGATGCAAGGGTGTAACACTACAGAACGTATTACTATACGGCATCACCTTTCAAGAATCTTAAGGCCAAGATATATTATTTTCGATGACATTTAAGATGCGAAGAATTATATCTATTGTGAATTTAATCATATTATGAAGTAACGCGTGTAAGATCAGTCGATAGGTGCGGATTCCAGAGGGATCCCGAGCAAATCCGATCTTTTTTATTGCATGTATGTCTCTGTTTTATAAGAGATCGATTGCGAAGAGTTGCGAGCAAAGGGGTATAAGGTGGATGGTAATGTTTTGGAAATCCCTATTTCATTTACATTTACGTATTAATCATTATATGGTATGTGCTACGCACGAGTATTCAAGTATGTTAGTTATTAGTTTTTAATCGTGAGAACAATAATCAAGCGAATATATATAATCCCGATGAATAATCAACCGAACTTTGGGACAGATTTCGAAGGAAGATTACGAATTAAAAAAGGCTGACATATATCTCTCATACTGAGGCACAATTAAAGATAATGACTTTATGTCACAGATTATATATTTGTGAATGCTGCATGATTATCTTTATATTTGAGTTTTTACTTCATAAGATTGTTAAATTTTTTCAGCTGTAAGAGCGATACGTCTTACCCAAGCAGCAAATTACAAAAATCTTGATACTTCCTGTCTATTAATTTTTCGAGGACAAAATATTTCTTATGATAAATTTTTTTTATATTATTTTATATTGTGTATATTTTTATTATATATACATCTATCACTAAGATTTATTATTCATATCTATGTGTTATATAGATAGAAAATCTGTTTTTGTATATAAGTTTTTCTTTCCTTGAAAAATCTATTATATATCTTTTGGTAATTCTCATACGAAGCTCATAACAGAGTCGATGAAACTTAATCATGGATTGACACAGTATTGTATCGAAATAAAGAGACTGCAGATTAAACTATTTAGTATATCTTGTATATAAGTAAATATGCCCATGTTATTTTTAATTTTTGTATAACGAACAATTGAAGTGAGAAAAGGAGTGTGCGAAGGAAGGAAATTTCAATTCCCATTTAGTCCATATCGCAATAATACTAATCTTTTACTAATGATTTTGCTATAATAATCGAGTATCGTATATCAGGATTGACGTTACATATTAAATATATTGTACTTCATGTAACATTTGCAATACTAGTAAGATTTCAATTATTGAAAGGCCAAAAGAAACCTGGAGCAATACATATTGCTCTATATAATAAGTAATTCTATAATAAATATAATATATCTATTTCTATTTATAAATATGTACGGAATGTTTTTTCGTATTTTGTAATATACCAAGTTCTCAAATAAGGTATATATAACAAGTATTACGATTACATTCAATTACGTGTAATCGATTTATGATTTTATTCGAGTGGTTCTCTATCGACCTATAAATAGAGTTAATAGAGGAATAACATCGTAGATATAAGAATTGTAGGTCGTATATATCGAAGACACGATTTATTCGTTGTAATTAATCTGTTCGGTATGATTATTTCCTTTTATGCGCACGGATAATCTTATTTTATTTCGTCTAATTTTCTAGGTAGGACCATGATGCACCAATATCATTCTCTGATCTTCGTTTATAATTGCAAAAAAAATGCAATGGTGGTATAAGATTTATTAATTCTATGCCGATGTCAACATAATTCGTTACTTATCTATGCGCTAAATATACAACAATGCTGTACTTCCGATTCACCTTACAGGACGTATTATTTCAGTATTTCTGATACAGGCGCATATACACATATATTCTTATATTATTTAGATACTTTACGTAAAATCGAGCCCTCGATGGCTACCATGAAGCGGATGCCAATATATTATGTAATAAATCGGTATCGCCTTTTCTATTATTATAAAATAAATATTACTTATACTGAAGTTACTTTTAAGATCAAAACATTATAACCAATATGCTGCCAAATATAGGGTGATGCATTTCTCATAATAATGACTTGTCTGTTATTTTTAGCATGTATGTTCACTCAACAATATCCATGTACGCAAACGGGGCGCTCTTACTACGATGTGGGGATTAGAAAATAATGGAAATCGATTTTTATCTACAGTTTGATACATATATCTCTATATTTTTCGCTTTACACGGTACACGTTAAATGCTACAGAAAAAAAAAATTAAGGAGTATAGGCATGAAAAAAACCACAAATGCAAAAATTTACTGGAAGTGACGAAATACATTATAAGTTAAAGTAGTATATATATATGTATATATATATAAAAGTAATATCACCTATCTTGAATTAATACATATTAATTATTTTACAATCCAATCTGCGTTGCATTGCACAAGGTATGATGCGATAATTGTGTAATAACGGAGAATGGCAATTATCATTCTTCCAGAAATATATGATGACTTAAACATAAAACTTACATATTTTTATGTCATTTTGCTTTTGTACTTTTTTTTTCTTTTGATTAACATAATCCTAAAAAGATACAGTTATTTTCGTAAACACGCAAGTGGTCGAACTTTCTTACAACAGACTCGAGTTACAATGTTCGCGTTAGTTACTGCAGATACATATAATCAGTTATCACGATAATTTACGATGTTGTAATGACTATCGTTTATTGTAGTACTGCTTCATATTGTACTGTACGAGAAGATTACAGCTGCACATCTCTTAAATCTAGAATATATAACCTAATATTCTTAATATTACATGTAGAGATACCAATATACGCAAGTGAGTTAAAGGAGAAGTGTGAGTTGTAGTAATTAATTTTCGAGACAAATTTAAAGGGCGTAAGAAATTCTAAGAAATTATTCGGCATTTATAAGTATTACAAATCTCAGTTCGCAAGTCTATTGTGACGCGATTTCTAGTGTCACGTATAATGTAGTCTCGAGTCTTGACGTTACGAGGACGTTAAGACGAGGTCAAATTTGTACAATTTGAACGATGATGGGGGCAATAGATATACACGGTTACACTTATGATATATATTTTCCACACATAACGGCTGCCTTATTTTATGTAATCTGCAAATAAACCGCATTTTTTTTTTATTTATATGTTTTTCTGTCTCTCTGTAGGTCTCTAAGGTCAATTCATTTTGATGGTCTTAAGAAACAAGACACACGTAGCATAAACTAGATTTTTTTTTTAATTAAAACTTTTGACGCGGATCAATAGTCAGCGTATTTCATCGATATTAGTATATCAACTATTATGCAGCATAGTATAGTATTGCAAAATGATTTTCTATATTACACAGAATCTATATTAGTTGTAGTTGTAAAGTAATAATTAAAAGATGAATTACGATCTAGTTCGGGTATTAAAGCTGACGTAAAAATGGACGTGAAATCAGTCTCTATTTTACACTCGCATTGATTTGATTTCCTTTTTTAGACTTTTTAGAGCATCGCAAAATGAGTGATTTTCTCGTGTTACTTTTTTATTTTAATCGCATTATAAAATAACCGATTACTTCCAAAGTCGTGCAGCCGTTTTTTTTTTTAATTCAACTTTTATTCTGCCGGCAATTAGGTCTGTAACTGAGCGTATATTATGAGCTTAATATCGTATCTTTTTCGTAAAACGAAAACGGTGGTGAGGAAAAACAATTCCAGATTAAATATATTGCAAGAGACTAATATACGATGTCTTAATACCTGAATAATATTCGGTAAACTTAGTAACGCTGTTTTTGACAATCACAGTTTCTACATTTCACGTTAAAACCAGGTTCTGACTAATGTGCACGTTTATATATAAAGTATATAGAATGCAAACACATAACAATATATAGATATCTCAACGTATAGATCTTATTAAAACTCGTACACTTACTCGTAATTATTAAAAAGAATGGCAGATATCACCGTTAAGTAAGCACGAATGCGTTTGAACCACTAGCAGAATCTTGGATCGCAAAAAGTTTGATTTTTAAATTTTCCCAATCAGTAAAGCTCTATTAATGAAATAGAATTCATCATGAGAGACAATGCTACTCAGAAATCAATTTTTGTTCAAAGGAACAACAAGGAGTTTAAAAGAAATTAAAAAACAAAAAATTAACAAGACTGTGAAACATTGTACAAATATACGTGATGTGATATCTCCTTTTTAAATAACGAGTATATATATATAGTTATATTATGCTGCATCAAAAGTCAAATCAATCTTCTTGCCATTCAAGCGGATTTGAAGTACATTCACCATTTACCCTATTTTTCATGTTTCATCGTGGTTACATTCTACAATCTACGATCTTCTAAAATTTCGAAATATTAACTTTGTGGAAATAACACACCGGTTTAAAAAAATAAGTAAGCAATGTGTCCTGATTCTCAGCGTCACTAAAAAAAATAAGAGTCGTAAAAAGAGTCCCTCACAGCCTAAGTAAGACTTTCACTTGAGATCTTAAGTTTGTTGAATGAATGCTGAAGCAGGACTCGATGATAGCGTTTCTCTCAGGTAGAATCTCCTTTACACAAATTTCTAAGTAAGACGATACATTTTTTTTTGTACAAATAACATAACGCTCCGATTTCTCTGATTACGTACATGCTCGCAATTGTTTATATTGTTGATGCCGATTTATTTTATCTAAAATATTCGTTAAAAAATAACACATGATGTCCTCGCGATTCTTCCGATCGTGCTTTATACGATCCGTGCGCGATATCTCGTATCAAGCGAGATATGGTCCTGCTAACGATTCTGTAAACATCTCATCATTCTCTACTATAAGTATTACAAAAGGAACTTTTAAGAAAAGTTTTCATTGGACAGATGGATACCAAGCTGTAAAACTTTCTTTCAGGCTGTAAAAAGTTCTACCATTGTGTGTGTGTGTGCGCGCGCGCGCGCGAAAGGTTTTACAGCTTGATGAAGAGTAAATACCGTAAAAGGTAAAATGGTTTACATACGCTTCAAGAATGATAAGATCTGATTGAGACATACATATACATATATGTATATAATATATGTATATTATATACATATGTATTATATATATAACATATATTATATACTATAATAATAATATATAATATATAATACATATTATATATAAGATATAAACATAATTTACAGAATAATATATGCATATCTATGTTCCTGTTCATATACATATTTCATAAACTTATGAAAGTCCTCCCCTAAACCATTCAGTGCATTCTGTTCCCTCTATTCAGTTTAACGTGAACAGTGAGTTATTTCCGTAGACGTATAATGATATCAATTTATACAAATTATACAAAGATTGAAAATGCTAAAAATATCTGCCTCTGCGAGAAACGATTCTCGATGTAGATGGCATCGACCAAGAGATACAAATTGCAAATTTTTCTCAACGAGTGATTTGTAAACGCGATTGTTCGTTAGTAGTTTTTCGGCAAAAAATAAAAAAAATAAACATATACATGATTATCCCGCCACGATTATACCACGTTCGGTGTTTCTCGTTTATAAAAATTTCGGAGTACCGCGTTTTCGTTCAAATCTGATTGTGTAACTGATGTTTCGGATGATTACGCGCATAATTACGCACGACTCTCGCGCTCTTTATCTCTTTCTCTCTCTCTTTACCTTTGTACCTACAGTCACAGTCATTGAACATCTAACACGATCATCCACTTAACACGACTGTCGGATTGGAAATAGTAAACTCTAATCATTACGTGTAGCCCGATTTTATATACGTGACTTAAACGGAGAACGGACAAGAGAGAAAATACACAGAAGATTTCTACGACGGTTCTGTGGTAACTGTGGTTTCTGATGATGTACTTACAGGTGGTACCACAGTCGATTTGAACGCTGGAATAAACTCAGCTGCGTCTGGATTTAGCGTGCTCTAAAAATTCACAAATGTACAAGCGACACGGCGATTAATAACGAGGTCTGAATAAGGAATATTTTACTTTTTTTTTTTTTTAATCGAAAGAAAACACTTTTTGTCTTTTAGATACCTGTTTTGCGATATCATCCTGCATCCTCAGACTGTTCAGCTGTTGACAAAGCTCAGCGGCGTTACTGTCGGGAGTGCCGGTGGCTGTGGACCAAGCGGTGGAGCTCATATTTCTCTGATGTTGCCTCTCCTCCTCCAGCATCGCCTCTAGACACTCCTCCATCAGCTCTTCCTCCTCCAGTTGTTGGAGCACCTAGTGCCGAACGGAAACATTGAGAATGTGGAGTGAGGAACGACCGCGAGAAGCTTCATATCAAACGAGTGAGGTACCTGCTTGTCAAATTCCTCCTCATTCTCCATCCAGAGGTACTCGGAGAAATCGCCGTCGCCTATCGCCTGCACCTCGGCCTCCGTGTCGCTGTTGTTGTCCACGTAGGAGGTGATGCCCGTCTCCTGTCCGTAGTAAGTCCCGTTTCCAGGCCCGCCGTTTGGGATCTTCATTTTCATAGCCAGTGTATTGAACGATTGCGCCTGCTGATTACCTGCAGATACACATTAGCTGTCAGCGCTCCGGCCCCGACAACGTTGTCGTCAAAGATAAGGGTAACGTTGAGACAACTTTATCGGCACGCGCTGTATGCTGTTCCCGTCGAAGGGGACGGGGGCCGTCGCGCGTCGATCAAACAAACAATCCGTACGGAGCGCCGCGTTGAAACACGACTCTCCAAACGGACCGCGCTTGTAAACACGAGGCGCTTGTACTCCAATTGTGCTCCCTCCGGGTGAGCAATCCCGATTGTCCCGGCGCCCCGCCGCCGACGGGCGAGGACTCGGGGCGACGTCGCGGGTGTGCCGCGCGCAACCTCGAGCCGGGGGACGCGGAGGCGCCGCGAGTCAACAAACCGCGACCCCTCGGCTTCTCGCGCATATGGGAACGGTCGACCCCCCCGCGTGTCCTCGGAGCACCACCCCCTCGGGGTGTTTACCTGAAAATTTGGTGGCCGTGCGGTCGAGACGGTTCAGTGTCGCTCTGTCTGTCTCTCTCTCTCTCTCTATCTCTGTCTCGCTAACGATGCATAGCGAGAAAGCACGGCGCGAGAATCGTCCTCGTCACTTGACAGATGAGGTCGCACGGGCGACCATCTTTGCGAGCCGCGTATCGTATCGTATCGAAATCGGACGGGGCGGCGCGTCTCTCTCGCGCGCGATCTCCTCGCGCTCCTTCTCTCTCTCTCGCTCTCCCTATTGTTTATCGAACGACGGTTGGCACGGATTATACCCTCGCCGAGAGAGGAAGAAACGGGTATACGGCACGGGACGGGATGGCCGCGGCACGCGGTACGTACCTTTCTCTGTGTGATAAAAAAACCGCCGTCGGGCCTTCCTCCGATCGTCCTCGTCCACCTGCTCCCCCGTCGTCTATCGTGCTCGTCGCGCGAACGTTTACCACGCGCGATTTTTACGCAGTTCACGGAGTTCACGGGCGCCGCACCGAAATACGTGTCTCTCTCGTTCAACGCAAATTAGCGATCGCACAGTGCTGCCACCGGCGTTGTTGTTAAAAGCCGCACTAGCCGCACAGCGGGAGCGCTGGTAGAGAGAACTCCACTCCGAAATATAGATATTTTTCACCAGCGTGCCGCCCGACACCGATATCCAGGTTGGTGCCAGGTGTCCGCGCCGTCCGCGCGGGGAGGAGATCAGCGGGGACTCATGTCGCGAGAAATCGCCGGGAGGGTCGGAAACGCGGCGGGACCGTACCGTACGCAATTCTCGGACAGAAACGAAACGTCGCGGAGCGATTCGAGGCTTAATTTTGTCACTTCGCGGCGTTGCGCGAAATATCGGCAGAATCGACGTTTAGAAAAAAATTTACTTTACGAGATATTTATTTCGCGGTACGTTTTAACGATTCCACGCAATAGGATAAATATAATTAGATCCTGGGGTTATTGTTGAGCTGCATTGGCCGCTAATGACTTGTGTTTATTACTATTCAGGTTGAATATTTATTAGTTATCTACGTAATAAGATAAATATAAGTAGATGCTAATATCATGTTATTGTTACAAGTTGCATGCCACTAATCGCCTATATTTACTATTGTTCGTCTGTTCTTTTTTTTCCTGTTTACCATCGCTTATATACATCTCTCGCAGTTATAATAAAATTATTATTATTATCTTCGCGACGTAATCAACTTGTAGGGCTAATTATAACCGCGTGACGAGGGAAAAAGTAAATAGAAGAGTTATCGCGACGTTCGGGGGACGTGATCGAGCCACCTGCCGGTAGATGTCGACTCCGTCGACGATTCGCGGACGCGATCGATGCGATCGCGTCGCAACCGCGCTCGGTGGACGAAAAAAAAAAAAACCGAAGCAGGAATTCCTCCGCTCTTTTTTACGCGCGGGCGGGGAGCTGCGGAGAGCGACGCTCTCGTTTCTCGAAACTCCGCGCGGTTGAAGAGCGGACGCGCGACGCGCGGGATTGACGCGCGTAGTCGCGCGTCAAGTCGCCCTGAAGTTGCCCCGAGTCGCCCGTCGGACTCGCGCGGTCTATTTACACCGCGGCGCGACGCGATTGGTCCGAACTCGCGAAGTCCGGTGTGGGACCGCTCTGGCGCTGGCGCGGCCGACACACAACACACATGCGCGTGCCCGACGTGCGTCAAAACAAAGCACGGTAGCGCTGCCCTCCCGGCAGCATTTTATCGCGATTCGTCCGTGGCGGCAGGTCGCACCGCGCGCGCGTCGCTCTCCGCTCTCCGCCGCTCTAAGCGTCATCAGCGTCCCCCGTTTATAGGCCGCGTATATCCGCGCCTCTCCTACGTTTTACGTGCGTCGCTCCCGGGCGCCTCGCGCTCGCGTTTCGTTTTCTGCGTCTTTAATTTTCCGTGTCGCGCGAACGCGAGTTGCTCCGCTCCCTCGCCCTCTCCCTCGTCTCTTCGCGAGTGTGTTGGTTGCGTTACGACGCTGTCGTACGGCGATGTCGTCCACGGTGAAGTACACGTCGGACGAGCAGCTGAGCGGTGAGTAAGGCGCAAAAAGCGGAAAAACCGCGCCACGCGCGCGCGCGCCGATTGTCAGACGCGACAGCCATTTCGCGCGGTGTCTCTGCGTCCCCCTTTCCCTCTCCCTCCCCCCCGCCTCATCCTCCTGCTCCGTCTTCTCTGCGAGCGTAAACAAACGTACTTCACTTCTCCACTACTCTCTTTCTCTCTCTCTCTCTCCGACGTTGCTCCGGCTGTTCGCGTCGGCGTCGAGGAGGATCGGCTGTCAGATGCCTCGACGCCGTTCAATGACATCCCGCGGGAGCGGGGAGAGAGATGCTTGCTCCCCGCGCTCCGGTTCGTCCGGCGCGGCGACGATCCGACGACGCGCGCGCGTCTCCGAAAATCGGAGCGCGGCCCCGTGGCCCTTCCTCCGGTGCAGGTCGGCGCGTCCGCGTCGCGTGGCATCGCGACGCGACGCAGTTTTGGCGCCATTTCGGGCCTACTTCAACCCGTCGCCCCGTCGCGCCCGATGGAAGATTCAATTTTTGATGCCGCGCGCGCGCGGAATCGATACTTCAACCCCGGCCGGAGCTTCGCTTAACGCGAAGTAGGTACGCCGGGTAAATTCCGGCCGCGCGGCGGCTGGAAGTAACACGCCTGTCTGCGAAACACCTGAACCATTTTTTTTTAAATTTTATCTATTTTTTTCTGTATTTCATCTTTTCGATATCTGTTCCTCTCGACTGTTTTATTCGGTTATTTTTCTTCAAAAAAAAAAAAATTATACTCAATTTGGGGTCGTTTCTAAGCATTTCTACGTAGAAAAAAAAAAGAAGTGTCAAATCAGAACTTATTATATGTATACTCGTATATAATACGCAACAATCTATATAATTTTCTTATAAGCATTTCAACGTTTTATTTCTACTCTTTGTACTTGGTTGAATATAAATTACTTCATTTAAAGTAAGTTTCCTTCGTTTAACGTAATATAATAATCATTTCAAGATTATAGATTGTTGCGTGCATACGAGTATGTAAGTCTTGATTATGAGACTTCTTTTTTTCTGTGTAAAGGTCGTCACTGCTCCCAATCAAAACATGTCATTGGTTTAGCTAAAATAATGTTGATTTAATTGTAAATCGATGGAGCTAAAATACTGTTTTGTGTTTTAAAACGATAAATTTTGGTACACATGGTAGTTAAAAATAACAAAATGTTATTTCATTCAAAGTATTAGTTTAAATTTTATCCTTTAAGGGCTCTCGATACTTACCTGTCTCCAGAATACAATTTTTTCAAAATTTTTTTTTACAATCTATATTCTCGATATGTTCTTATTTACTTTTTTGTTGGTTATTTATTTATTTATTTATTTATTTATTTATTTATTGAAAGAGGAGCGTTATGGACTTTGCTTCATCGCTCTTTTTACGGTATTCTAGAATGGAATGTTTCAACACCGAGTTAACAAATTAAACGCGCAAACATCTTCCATCGCATACGTTTCGGAGTCCGCTTCCGATAAACAGGCTGGATAAAATATTTGTGATTAGAACAGCGTGTTTTGCCCGTGCTATTTTTACTCAGAAATGTCGCGAGATTATGCAATAATAACCGTATTAACTGCTGATCAAGGACAAAGACTTAATTACTTTCTGCAATGCGCGTAAATAAATCACTTCCGTTTCTTTTTCTTCCGCGCTTCCTGATACGCATCATGTGTACGCGATAATAAAGCGAGATAAGATCCGCGCGCTGCTGAGCGTTTCAATATGCCGGAGGAGTCGCAGATGTTGACAAACTCAGTCGCGAATTATCGATAATCGCCTTATCAGTAAAAAAAAAGGCGAAAAGAGATGGCAATATATGTTGGGAGGATTTACGATAGATTTCGCAGAAAATTACGCGACGCGTTTCTAACCTTTTGATTTAATAAATAAATAATAAAAAAAACTTAGTAACAAACTTGTTTGTCTCGGTCTTGCGCGAATATAATTTTCCAAAAATACCTGCCAAAGTTTTAAAAAATTATTGACAGACGCGCAATAGGTACCTATAGCTTTATAATTTGGTCAGGAAGTTTCAGACCACGAGGAAGCCGATATTTCAGCTGTGGTTATCCTTTTACGGCGAAAGAGGTCAGACATTCTATTAATAATTCATAACGTACGCCGGTATAATATTCTGAAAAATATCCGAGGCTTCGTAAACAACTTTACCATTTTTGCAACGATTTTCACCGTTACCAAAATGACTTACTTAACATGTTTCCTTTATGTTCTTTGTTCGGTTCCCCTTATTAAATTTCAAATCCGCCGTGGATGAAGATCATTACGCCGAGATAACGAAATCCTTGTACGTTTCTTAATTAAATTTTATCCGCGCTTCTCCTTCTAGACTTTTTTAATTACGTCGAATCGCATAGAGTGTCGGGTCGATTTACCGATTAATTTTAGAACATTGTTCGTCTCGAGGCTCGCTTTGCCGCGCGCGAATCTCTTTCACCTGCGAAGGCCACTTGAATCGGGCACGCGTATAAGTACACTTCCACCATCGCAATCTCTTTATCTCTGTTTTGCAAAGTGTCGTCTGGCCGATAGCCCCGAAGAAAGAGGCAAGCACCTGCTTTCATCTCGGACCGGCATCGCGATCTGTGTTTTCTTTCCGTCACCACGCGTCTTCGTTCTCGTGCGCGCCTTGAATTATACGAGTGCCGCGCGTCTTCTTAACAATGGCCGGTGTTCGGTTCTCGACGATCGTCGAGGTGCGAAATAATCGCCAGGTGAAATAATATTTCGCCAGAAGTTATCCGAGACGCGAAATGCTAAATTTATCCGCGGCTCGGATTACTCCGAGCCTCCAGTTTCCTCTCCGTCTCTCTCCGCCGTATTACGAGAAATTGAACACCGCTTCTGTAACTTCCCTGGGATTTCCTCAGTGCGCTGCAAAGTTATTTTCACGTATTTTTTTTTTTTCACTCCTGTGTAAAAGTCCATCTCGGTTTTTTTTGCAGCGCGTTGCATATCCGACTGCTGTGTTCGCGCAAAGGTCTAATGGTATCTGTGGCGGCGTGATTTATTATTTCGCGTGTATTCCGGTTTGCGGAAATCGACCATGAATCATGTATGGATCGCACGACCTATTAACACGGCAAGGTATTCAATTCCGCAGGCAACGATGCGCAAATCTCGCGTCGAAATGAATAGCGAGTTATTCGAGGATCGTTTTTAACGAAAAATCTTTATCGCGTTTCGGGGGGGGGGGGGAGGGGCAGAGATGAAAATCGAGGGAAACGTCATCAGAGAAACGATATATAAAGTATATAAGGTATATAAATTCTAAAAATGGTGTTAATTTCTAATCGTTTTTCGAAATTACTGCAAAAATTCTAAAAACAGTCCTCCTCTTTTACCCTCTTCGATTTGCTGGGTCACCGACGCGAATAGAACTGGGTCAGTGCCCTGCCAACTCGTGTGGTCCGAGTGTTCTATTTAAATTGGACGAGCCCTAATGAGTACGGCGCTCGGTCAAGATCAGGGTCGTATGAATGTTGTCGTCGCGTCTTTCTCATCGCCTAATAGAAGTCGCATAGCTATAGATAACGTGTCATGCGCAGCAGAACTATAATAATATCGACAATCTAACGCTGGAACGTTCAATGCCATTCTCGATCGAAAAGTAATGTTACGAGTTACGATATTCG